ACCATATGAGCTTTTGCCATCTCTTGGTGTAAAGTGTCCTGTGTCTGTGGTCGTCATCGTCGGTATAAACTTTTCCAAAAATCTTCTCCTCTAAAACTACTAAACCAATTTCACCCAAACTTGAGGCGAATGATCCTTTTGGTATCTAGTATAAAGTTTGAGTTTTTATTTTGGTCTGCCAACAAACATGGCTGCCATAGCTTTAAATAAGAGTTTGCCCTAAAAAACCTATTTGTATTAGATTTTTAATTTTTTTCTTCAGAAACTATGATAAATAAACAGAAAGTTTGATGGCAAAAATGTTCAGCAAACCCTTATAGGAGTTATTACTCTTGAAAGACATTTTTTTAAAATTTTTTAGCAGAAACTATGATAGAGAGAAATTTCAAACAGCAATAAAATTCAGCAAAGTCAGACCTACAATAAAGTCAACGAGACTGCAATCGTCAATTGATCCCTTAAATTGCACTTGAAAGATGAATTTTACCTATTTATTTAATTTTTTTTACCGAAACTATGATAGATAGAGAGAATCTTTTAAAAAGCAAAAAAATGCTCAGCAAAATAAGACCTACAAATAAGTCAATTAATTAAAATTGTCAATTAACCCTTTATGTTAAAGAGTTATTGCCCTAAAAAGATGATTTTTTCCATTTTTTTTTAGATTTTGCAGAAATTATGGTAGTTTCAGGGAACTGGGTTAAAAACTGTAATAGAAGATTACACAAAACTCGATATCTTATTTATTTTTTAATGCATGAAAAATATAGAATATCTATGAAACATCTTACTAGGATCCTCATTTTATGCTCCTTTTGATAATTTTAAATTTGTGAACAGGTTTCATTATTATAACTTTGGTAAAAATTCTGTGTCTATAAACCTGTGCAAAGGATAAATTGTCAATGCCTGGCAGAAGTAAGTTATATATAAATGAAAGTAATACATGTATTTTTATTCTAAAAACTTATTCCTGGATTTTGATGTGCATTTTTGTGTTATCTCTGCAGACGATGGTAAATAAAAACCTGATATTTGATACAGTCCACAAAGATTCACTGTTTAAATCACCTATTTTTGTGTGTTATTTATTGTCCCGCTTTGTGTATATCAAGCAAAACAATACAATACCATTTTTACACGAACATAGTGAGAGGAACATCTCAAAGATTTTACCCTTCTAAGTTTATTATTACACCTTCTGTAGCACTCCTCTGAAAAATGCACATACAAATCAGAGATTTATGATAAGAATATGAACATTTTTTTCTTAAATCAATTAATGCATTGTATACTACTGTTTACATTATAGATTTACATATAACCTAGTTATATACAATCAGAGGTAATTGATTGAAATGCAATTGATAATTCAAACACACGTTCAACTTGCTAGTGAATTATCTTTGAGACAGCAAACTAATGGCTAAAAAGACCCAGAAGTCACACTCAATTTAAAAACAAATCCTTGTTTTGAATGGTTATATGATAAACATGAAGATCTAAAGAATTAATTCTATATTTCAGTTGGTCAGTTATTCAAGTTGACTAAAAATTTTAAATCATTGGCATGTTATAATTGTTGCCTTATACTTTATATGACAATAATAGTTTTTTTTATATACATTTGTACATGTTCAATAAATGCCTAAATACCTTTGCTAGTATTTTCTTACTACATAATAACTAAACTACTAATTTCAAGAAATAGAAATTATATTATAATTAAACGAATACAATGAATAAAAGTACAATATATAACGTTTTTTGTAATTTTTGTGTGTGAAGTATTTACCTTATAAGTATCTGTCAAGCTCAGTCCAAATTCGTTTTGCCAGATTGAAATCTCCTTTTTATACGACCGCAAAACATTTTTGGGTCGTATATTGGTATCACGTCGTCGTTGGAAGACATTTGGTTTCCGGACAAAAACTTTAGTATTAGTTAATAGAAATCTATGAAATTTAAACATAAGGTTTATAACCACAAAAGGAAGGTTGGGATTGATTTTGGGGGTTATGGTCCAAACAGTTTAGGAATGAGGGTCCAAAAGGGGGCCCAAATAAGCATTTTTCTGGTTTCATGACAATAACTTGTGGAACAGTGTATGGATCTCTCTGAAATTATACCACAAGTTTCCATTCCACAAAGGAATGGTTAGGATTGGCTTTGGGGGGTTATGGCGCAAACCGTTTAGGAATTAGGGGGAAAAAAGTGAGAAAAAACAAGGGTGTCCTGGTTAATGGACAATTACTTAAGTACAAATTACAGTGTAAGGGAGGTAATTCAAACACAACTTTGAATTACCTCCCTTACACTGCTTTTGAATTATGTATAAAGAATTTTTGTATTGTCTTGAGGTGATTAGCTGTCAAGTCATTTTTAGAAGTTACTATTTTAGTTTTAAAAATGTTGATTAAGGTAAATTAATTTTAGCTATGGTTATGTATGTCATTTTCTATTTTAAGACTTTTATGATGTATTTAAATGGGTTATTATGGTTGCAAACTCCATTGGAAATTATAATTGAAATTATGACCATGACTGAGGGAAAGAATGTTTTTTTGGAAAAGGGGAGGGAGGGGTGGGGGGGGGGGGGGGGGGGGGGGGGGGGGGTTAAAAGGAAATTGTGGGGACAATATTTTCTCCTAAAGATTTCAGAAATCAAAAAGAAAATCCTTCAAAAGGGGGGGGGGGAGGGGGGGGGGGGGGAGGTTAATTCGCAATAGCATAGTGTATTGCACAAAAGCAAAAAATAGAATATAAATTCAAATCATATAACCAATTCTAAGTTCTTTGACTACAGTTATTCTGTGTCAGAAACCTATTATGTGTCAAATATTGAATTACATTCCAAATTCAGACCTGTATCGAGCTCGAATATTGTGTCCATTTTTGCCCCAACTGTTCAGGGTTGAACCCATGCGGTCGTATCCAGCTGCACTCGGCGAAGTAATTTATTATAATTCTTAGCACGCCTTATCCTTGCGTGTAAGAAAATTGGTCGTTAACATGTGTCTAAAAGTTAACATGTACATAAAGATTGGATTATATATAAAGTATGAATGATTCCATCCGACTTTACACTGATTTGGGAATATAAAGTAGGTAAAATGCAGTTACTAATGAAATGTAGGATTAATAACAAGCTGGAGAACAAAAGATGTTACTCGAATGCTACAATTTTTGTTGGCAGAATTTTGTAACACAAAATAGAAAACTGTTAATTTATCGGAAACAATATTTTCGGCAAAACAAAATATCAAAGAATAATTAAACGTTCATATCATATCATAAAGGTTCAGTCGCTATCAAACTTGAAGGCCTTTTTTGTTAAAGATTGACTAATCTTGACATTGGATACAAAAAGATACTGGAATATAAATGATATAATGCTTAAGATCTCTATTTCAAATGATTTCAGAAGTGCTATAATAACGGGAATTACTATGGTGATAGTGTTAGTGTCAATTGTCATTTATTTCTGGATAAAAAGAAATAACAAACAACATGAACAAGGTAAATTTACATAATTGATAAGCCACACAATATTGGTTTTAAATGATATTGGTAGTATTTTGTGTAATTCAGTCGATGAAAGTCAGGTTGAGGAGATAATGTATACTTTCCAATGTATCCTACATGTCCTACCAAATTAGACTTATCACCAGGTTTGTTTTAACAAGAGCAACACCACAAGTGACGCATGGGGAGCAGGATCTGCTGACCCTTTCGGAGCATCTGAGATCACCCCCAGTTTTGGATGGGTTCATGTTGCTCAGTCTTTAAGTGTCAGACCACCAATTCAAAATCCCTATCAATTCATCCAAATTTTGCAATTTTCACAGCTTTCTAAATACTTTACCTTAACTCCACAAAAAACAGGTATATCCTGAATAAAACATGTATCACCTTTCTTTATAGAAATAAGAAGCTGTGGTATGAGTGCCAATGAGACAACTCTCCATTCAAGTCACAATTTGTAAAAGTAATCCATTATAGGTCAAAGTACGGTCTTCAACACGGAGCATTGTTATATGCCAATTTTCAATCTATCTTTGATGTCTTGTAACGAAGAACTACCGTCAGGAATCCAAGTAGTACTAAAAATAGCCCCTGTATTTCTGGAAAAAATATTATCAGAAGTCTTTTGTTTCTGCTTTATTATTAATCATTGGTCAATGTTTAGTAAAAAAAACCCATATCTTATCATAATGCGACTTATATTTCAAAATTCACTGCTCTATTTAAACTGATTGTAATGTATCACTTAAATAGAAATACTTGAAATTTTAGTTTCTGACTACAGGAATATAAACTTTCAATATCAAGATCAGTTTTGGTTAATTTTTTCTTCTTTGCCTTACTGCTTAAAATTTTTACCATGAGTTTAGTTAAAAATTAGAGGTAATGAATGCAGGTACCTGCATTCCAGATTATCAATTGAGAAAAAAAAATCAATTGTTTTCTGATTTTTTTGTTTCACTGCTTTTCGCTAATAAGAAGGGCTACTTTTACATACGTTCTAAATTGGAGTCGGTGAATTGGTGGTCTGACACCTTTAATTTTCTATGTTGTGTTGTTTGTCTGTTGGTCTTTTTCTTTTTTAGCCATGGCTTTGTCAGTTTATTTTCGTATGGTATGGTCTGCCTCTTTTTTCCAATGAGACTTTTAATCAAAGTCAAAAGCACATGACGAATGTATTTCCTGAGACGTAAGATTGGTTTAAGTGACATATCAGAAACATTTTTCCCTAGATCATGCACATGTTACATGTCATTTCCCATATTGGCCTTAGGATTAGCCCAAGACTTTCATATCAGATGTCTAATGTAAAATATAATCAATCTTAGATATCTGATGTAAAAGGCAATAAGTATCAGATATCTGTTATATTTATAATTAGGTAATATCTAGTGTAAATGATATATATATATATATTTATTGTTAAACTATTACATAAGACCCCACGAACAAGCTATTGTGTCTTTTCCAGAAGAGGTAGAGAATCCAGATGAAACAAAGAAATTAATGACTACAACAACTGACCAGCAAAAAATTATTCCAATGAATATAAAAGGTATATTATCCTGTTCTTGAATAATAAATTAAACAGATAACAGGAATGCACAAAATAACTGGCAGCAGATCTGTCCATTCAACCACCTAGACCTGACTCTTTAGTAGAAAAAACCCCTACAAACAACAAGAAACAACGAAGAACAATACAATCTGATTGAAATACAGCTAGTGTGTCCAAAGTTTACTAACAAGGATCTGAAAACGATCAGCTCTACTTTCTGTTTCATACACCTTTGGGGATCCTCTAGTTTTGTGGGAATGATACACACCTTCAAATATTTGAAGTCTGAAACTTCTTCGCCTGATGAAATTATGTACAGAACAGAAAGTAAAATGAAGTGTTGTAAGATCGATAAATGTAACCAAAGCTTGGACATAGGATATTTATTTTATTCAAATTGGGAATAATACATTGACCAGATAGCCTGATTTGGCCGAAGCACACAACACGAAAGGGTTAAGCCAGTTTTTCAGTTTTATAGCTTACTAAAAGGTTTCGTAAAATAATATTATAACATTCAAATTGATGCAATGTAAATACAATCAGTATCAGATAGTACATGCTAATACAATTATCATTAAATGGCTAATGTTAATATAATCAGTAACAAATGGCTCATGTTAATATAATATTTAACAGATGGTTCATATTAATATAATATGTAACAAATGGCTCATATAAATACAATCAATAATTTGTGGCTCATGTTTATACATTCAGTAACTTGTGGCTCATGTTAATATAATCAGTAACAGATAGCTCATGTTAATACAACCATTAACAGATGGCTCATGTTAATACAATCAGTATCAGATAGTTCATGTTAATATAATCAGTAACATATAGCTCATGTTAATACAATCAGTATCAGATGGCTCATATTAATACAATCAGTAACAGATGGCTCATGTTATAATAATCATTCTAATATGACGTGATTCTTTCGCTTTGTAACAACACCGTGATAAAATTCTCGATATATCTATACTTAGCGCAGACTCAGAGATGTGCATATTGGTGGCTTTTACTATTTACCTCCCACGTAAATCCACATGTATCGTAACCTATGTGCAATTTCGTTGTGTTCAAATTGAAATTGAAAAAGAAACTACAGAACCGTTATTCCTATTATAATGCATAACAAAAAGAATTAATTCACAAGAGCTTAAAAAATTAATAAAATCAAAATAAAATAAAATTCCACGAATTTATAGGAATAATCTTGGCGCATTAACGTCATGTCATAACATGACGTCATACGAATGAAAACTCTCAAGCTGATGGTTATCCGTTACGTATACACCCTAAATTCGGATAATATTGCATTAAAATGGAGTTTTGAGGTAGGTGTTGTTTCATTTTCTATTCCATTGCATTATTTGCACATTTGTGGATTTTAGCAAGTCAACATGACTCACTCCTTAGTTACGACATGTCAACTCTGTATTTGACAGTAAATAGTAGCCAACGAAAAAAAAATGTTTGGGTTAAGAATTATGAGAACTGAACACATTTTTTCTAGTGCTTATTTAAGAAATAATTCATGTAAGACTTAGATTTATTTGAAATTTGTAGCTTTTATCATACAAGGGGGCAAAATAGAACAGCAATACACACGGCAATCATACCTTCGCTTCAGTTTTTAAATAACCGTATTTGTCCTATTAGAATCGAAATAATTCATGGAAGCCATAGATTTGTTGGACATTTACACATGGCCTGGGCTGTGATATTCGTTAATTTTATCCCTGGCTAACGCTCAGGATAAAATTCAAATATCACTATGTCTTCCATGAATTATTTCTTAAGTAGCATATAGCTTGTGATAATATAAATGTAATCATTAACTTATTACTAATGATAATAAAATCGGTAACTTGTAGCTCATGATAATACATTCAGTAACTTGTGGCTCATGTTGATACAATCAGTAACAGATGACTCATGTTTATACAATCAGTAACAGATAGCTCATGTAAATACAACCAGTAACAGATGGCTCATGTCAATACAACAGGGATCAGATGGCTGGTGTTAATATAATGAGTAACATATGGTTCATGTTAATATAATCAGTAACATAGAGCTCGTGTTAATATAATCAGTAACAAATAGCTCATATTATTATCAGTAACAGATGGCTCATGTTAATATAATCAGTAACAGATGGCTCATGTTAGTATAATCAGTACCAGATGGCTCATGTAAAATATAATCAGTAATGGATAACTCATGTTAATATAATCAGTAACAGATGGCTTGTGTTAATATAATCAGTAACAGATGGCTTGCGTTTATATAATTTGCATCAGATGGCTCATGTTAATTTAATCCGTATCAGATGGCTCATGTTACTATAATCGGTATCAGATGGCTCATGTAAACATAATCAGTAACAATTAGCTCGCTTAAATATAATCAGTATCAGATGTGTGATGTAAAATGAAATAGTATTGTATGTCTACGATCAAATGAAGTTGATATATAAAATGTATAACTATTGCATGAGACCTCATGAACATATTATTCTTTATTTCAGATAAAGAAAACACATTAGAGCTTTTAGGAAAGGAAACTGATCAGAAAGTAGATATTCAGAAGGATTTTGGAGGTAAATTATCATGTTCTTAGAAATAACAGATGGTTCATTCAAATTATAATCAGTATCAGATGGTTCAAGTAAAATATTATTAGTGTCAAATACATGATTAAAGATATAAATGGTATCAGATATCTGTAAAAATGTTATCAGTATCAGATATATGTTGTAAAACATTATCAATATTAGATATCTGATGTAGAATATAATCAGTATCAGACATATGATGTAAAATATATAATCAGTATCATATGTCTGATGTGAAAAGTAATTGGTATCAGATATCTCATGTGGAGTATAATCAGTATCCGACATCTGATGTAAAATATTATCAGTATCAGATGTCTAATGTAAAATATAAATAGTATCAGATATCTGATGTAAATATAAATAGTATCAGATGTCAGATGTAAAATATAATCAGTATCAGATATCTGATGTAAATATAAATACTATCAGATATCTGATATAAATATATAAATAGTATCAGATATCTGATGTAAATATAAATAGTATCAGATGTCAGATGTAAAATATAAATAGTATCAGATATCTGATGTAAATTTGAAAAGTACCAGATATCAGATATCTGATATAAAATATAATCAGTTTCAGATATCTGATGTAAATATAAATAGTACCAGATGTCAGATGTAAAATATAAATACTATCAGATATCAGATATAAAATATAAATAGTATCAGATGTCAGATGTAAAATATAAATAATATCAGATATCTGATGTAAATTTGAAAAGGATCAGATATCTGATATAAAATATAATCAGTATCAAATATCTGATGTAAATATAAATACTATCAGATATCTGATGTAAAATATAAATAGTATCAGATATCTGATGTAAATATAAATAGTATCAGATGTCAGATGTAGAACGTCATCTGTCTGTTGTAATTGTAATCAGTGCCAGTAATATAAAGATGTATTCAGTTTTGAGTGTGGGATGAAAATATAAATTTTGTTTAATTACTGCATAGAAATGTGTGAGAATGCTATTGATACATTTCCTTAATGCATTTGAGCGAAGATCAAATTTCATTTTTTATTCAAGGAAATGAAGAAAAGATAGAACAAAGAGTATCAAAAATAGAAATTGAGCAGACAGACGTTATTCCACGGAATATTAGAGGTATGGTATTAGTTCATGTATTTTTGACATTCTATTATATGACAAGATGACAGCACCACTGCAATACTTAGACATGCTTGCAGCTTTGTATGTTTAGTTCAGACTTTCATCTCGAAAATAAGTTGTCTCGTTGAAAGCAGCTGTAAATAGTATTGTTTGAAACCATTATTGCCAAATGTTAAAACAGTATAAAATTACAGGAACAACTAAATTAGTGATATGCACATTTTTTCAGCACATTGTTATTTATTGAGATGATGGTATTTGGCATGAAGGTGTATCATTATATAAGATTATGTGGGGTAGAATATAGATAACATTACTAAGTATGCTGTACTGTTTATAAACTTTGTGGACATGTAAACTTGTAAGTTCAAGACATTGTAATATATTTACCTACATATATGATATTAAGCATGTTTGATAATCAGCTTTAGACAAAGGTTGTGACTTTCTTGACCATCATATGACCTTTGACCTTATAGTCAAACAAATGTTTTTCTCGTATGCAGGCACATGTGTACTCTACCAAATTTATTTTTTTCCTTTTAGTTCTCCATACAAAGTGTAAGAAATACATATTCTCCAAACAAAGTGTAAGAAATACATATTCTCCATACAAAGTGTAAGAAATATATATTCTCCATACAAAGTGTAAGAAATACATATTCTCCATACAAAGTGTAAGAAATATATATTCTCCATACAAAGTGTAAGAAATACATATTCTCCTTACAAAGTGTAAGAAATACATATTCTCCATACAAAGTGTAAGAAATACATATTCTCCATACAAAGTGTAAGAAATATATATTCTCCATACAAAGTGTAAGAAATACATATTCTCCATACAAAGTGTAAGAAATACATATTCCCCATACAAAGTGTAAGAAATACATATTCTCCATACAAAGTGTAAGAAATACATATTCTCCATACAAAGTGTAAGAAATATATATTCTCCAAACAAGTGTAAGAAATATCTATTAAAGTACACTCAAATTATGCATGACCAAACGTACACATGTACATTCAGGTCTCTGTAGGCCAACAATGGTGTAACTCTGCGTGTACATACATGTAAATGATAAAAGGTTTGTGTTTCTAAAAGATGGTCATGTGATATATGTTTTATGGTTCAATGACTTCATTTATGGTTAATGTCCAAGTTCATGTTGGTTAAGTTTTTAAATTTGAGTTATATATCTCTAATCAGTTCTCATTATCTGGTGATTTTTTTAAGTTTCTGTGAGCTGATATTTTATCATGCAAATATTGACACTAAGTTTTGTGATAAAGTAAGTTTGATAAATTACTGTTTGAGTTAAATTTTGTATTTTGATACTTGGAAGTTTTACCTATACCTTTCAGACGTTTAAAACATTTAGAACAAACAAAAGAAATCAAATGATAAATTGAAAAAAAAACCATGGTCAAAAGAAAAAAGTCAAAAAGACAAACAATAGTCCTCACTAACTACACAGAAGCTAAGGATTGATGAGCACCATCTCCAACCAGAAACCTCGGTGCTTTAAAAGGTTAAGCAGTTTCTCATCAAGTAGTTTGTTGCTCTTGACAATAAGAAAAAAAAGATAATTGAATTAATAAAAGTATTAAGAAGTTTAAGGAAAAGAGGAATCAATTATTTTTAAAATATTTGAAACATATCTGTGCCTATAAAATATTCTGTCAAAATCAATAACTCAGACAAGAAATGACAGCTTGTGTAAATACTCCACGCACATATTTTGATTTTGTTTAGTTTTACAAATTTTTATGATAGATATTTTCAAATCGTATTTAATTTCTACTACCACTATGACCTAATTCCACTATTTTTTTTAGTTATATGTAACTAAGTATAATTTATTCAAAAAGTTATATTGAAAGTATAACAAAGTGGCTAAACTTGCATATTTTTTTAGACCAGATAAAAAAAAAGATGCAGGACTGGGAAGAGAAAGATAAGATGTTTGTGCCTACAAGAGCCAGTGATTATGTCATGAAGAGTGTAGGGGACAAAAGTTGTGTGACTTTAACTGCCCCATCAGGAGTAGGAAAATCTTTTATTAGTAGACATACAGCGCTTGCTTTACAGAAAGAAGGGTACGATATAATACCAGTGGAATTACCAACGGAGATAAAAACTTATTATCAGCCTGGCAAGAAGACAGTCTTCATTGTAGATGATATTTGTGGAAATTTCACAGCGGACCAACAACGGATTTATAACTGGGAACAACTGCTACCTACGATTAATACTATTATTGCAGACAAATGTTGTAAGATTATTGTATCTTGTAGGTTACAAGTCTTTAAAGATAACAAGTTTAATACACTATCACCTTTTAAATCTTGTGAATGCAACTTAATATCAGATAAGTTATGTCTTACGTCTGTAGAGAAAACAAACATAGCAAAAACCTATATTGGTACAAGCATGACAGATATTGATGATTTATCTTCTAAATGTGATTTTTTTCCACTCTTATGTTCCTTATATCACGAAAAAGAAGATGTAGATGTTAAAGAATATTTCAAAAATCCTTTTGATGTCCATAAAAGTGAGCTTGACAGGTTAAGTGAGCATGGTGATGAAGGGAAATATAAAATATGTAGTCTTGCTTTATGTGTTCTCTTTAATAATCAGCTAAAGGAAAAATGGTTCCAGGGTAAAATGACAGAAGAACAAGGACAGATCATAAAAGACACATGTGAGGCTTGTGAGTTCAACAGTATACCAAAGGCAAAACTAAAGAAAGCACTTGACACTCTAGATGGTACATTTATCTGTAAACAGAATGGTATTTATAGAACTGTACATGATAAACTGTTTGACTTCCTTGCTCATTACTTTGGTCAGAAAATGATTGAATGTTTAATAGATCATGGTGATAGTGGTTTAGTACGGGAACGTTTTATTTGGCAGAATTCATCAGATGACAAGAACAGTAACATAGACTTCATTATTGAAATATCACATGATTATTTAGAATCATATTTAAAAAGGTTTATAAAGGATTGGTCAGCAGGAAAGGTGGCAAGTGTATTCAGTAACAATAATATGAAAGTACAATCATTCAGACAACAGTTATTACAGTACTTACATAAACTAGACAAATCAGAACAAGTAACTTTAGCCAGTACCAAGGATACAGTGAGACCAAAGGAGCACCATGTATCAGGTAATACTCCACTGATATGTACTTGTTATTGTGGCTATACTGATATGGTACAGTGGATGTTACATAATGGTGTGGATGTGGATCAATGTAGAGATGATGGGGTTACTGGACTGATTTTCGCAAGTCAGAATGGACATACTGATATAGTAAAGTTACTGTTAGAGAAGGATCCTAATGTTGATCTATGTGACAAGGATGACTGTAGTCCTCTGTTCATGGCAAGTCATGAAGGACATACTGATATAGTAAAGTTACTGTTAGAGAATGATCCTAATGTTGATCTATGTAACAATGATGGATATACACCACTGATCCAGTCATGTTGGAATAACAACACCATTATAGTCCAGCTATTAATGAAACATAAACCAAACATTAATGCCCAGACCTATGATGGAGGTAATGCTTTATATTTCAGTGCATTGAATGGAAACCTAGAGATAACACAGTTGCTATTAGAGAATAATGCTGACTGTAATACCTGTATCAATAGTAAACAGTCTATAACAGATACATTAAATAACCATCAAAGTAAAACATTGGACGAAGAAAAACAATTATTATTTGATAGCCTGATAAAGAATTCATCATCACACGTAACAGATGATGTCAGTAAGAAGTCAGTAGATTATGCCTTTGATGTAGTAGCTGGTTCTTCTCCATTTCACATAGCCTGTTTTACGGGTAGGCTTGATGTAGTTCAGTGTCTTTTGGACCACAATGCTAACATTAACATGACAAAAGAAGATGGAACAACACCATTATTTTTTGCATGTGAAGTAGGACATGAGAATATTGTATGTTTATTATTAGATAAAGGAGCAAAGACCGAGATATGTAGACTTGATGGGAAATCCCCTTTAAACATTGCAGCAGATAATGGACATACATCTATAGTAATGATTGTAACAGAACACATGAGGAAGGAAGAAACACTTCTTAACTCTTGTTCGTTAGTCAGTGTATATTATGACATTAAGAAAAACATGCAGCAGATGAGAGAAAAACACTTTATTTTAATTATCTTATTCTTTGGTGTATTTGTTGACTATGTTTGATAACTTCTGCTATTCATTCCATTAATTTGTCTCCAATTTTACAAGACACATGCAGCTTAGCTTCACATTCCATGAATATTTCTTGATTTTATCAACTGGAACAGAAGAACCTATTTGACATAGATATAGTAAAATCATTGTGTGGATGCCAAAGAATAAAACTGTACCACACTTTAAAGTATTATTATTTAACATTGTAAATCTATCATTACTTAGTTATTTTAACTTACTAGATTGCTTTCTAAAGTCACATTTCTTTCTTCTTGATAAGGTTATCCATTAGTTTTTGTCTTATTTGATTTTCAAGCTGAAGGTTACATACTAAACTGAATGTATGACATATATACAATGTACACAAATATTAGCTTTATGTTTATCATGTTTATTGGTATGTTATTTTTATGTTTATTGTTTTCACTGTTATGTTGATACTGTTATTTCATTTGTTGTGTTGTTGGATTCCTGTCTAAACGCCACATGTGGAAGATCTTTTTTATAATGACATTTTAAAATTTATTTCTTTTTGCTATGTTGATTCCTGTTTTTTCTACTGTACATTGATTACATAATATTCATGCAACTAAAGTTTACAGACTTTTTAGTTCTGTTTTTCTGTCATAAAGAAAGTACTAGTTCAATTTGGTAAACGAAACTGTGATACAATTAGATAGAATTGTGGCATTATGTGAGAGATGTGGATACTTACCTGGATGTGTCAGTATGAACTCTTTGTATAAATGTTTTATTTATTTCAGACAGTTAATAATTAAGATGTCTTCTTTGATTTTTTTACCTGTGTTGTAAATACTTTAACTTTATATGATTTTTGTCTTATATTAGTATCTTAGATTTTCAGAATTAGAGGAGTATTTAAAAGAACTAATTATATTGATATGTTAAAAGCTCTGTAGAACTAATGTTCTTCATCCAGGTATTGTTCTATCAAAATATAGTCTTACAAATGTGTATTGACTCGATACTTTGATAAAATATGACCTACTTAGTTTATATTTTATTTTAAGATACAGTCTTAACTTAACCCTTTTGGAATCATGTTGGTATACATAGTTAATCATTTTTATATAGAGCTGAATTTTATGTTTTTGGATCAATGTCCTTGAAGTGAAAAATATAAGAATTATTTATTTATTTTAACATGGCTGACTCAGCCTGTTTGGAGTAATATCCCTGTAGATCAAATTTTCAGTGACAGCTTTTCATATTTCAGAGTAATTCCTCTGAAGCCAATTTATTTTCACTGTGTCAGCTTTTGATATTTTGGAGTAACTCATCATATCTGCAAATTGATATATTCATTCAAATGTTTCATTAATTTCATTTAAGCCAATGTTATTTTTATGCCCCCACCGTAGTGTATGGGACATTAAGTTTTACCCTTGTCCGTTTGTACGTCCGTACATCCCAAAATTGGTTTCAGTTCTGTAACTTTAGTTTGCCTCAACCAAATGTTTTGAAACTTACACACAATGCTTACTACCACAAAACACAGATCAAGTTTGAATTTGGGTGGCGTCTCTTTTACTGTTCTAGAGTTATGCCCCTTTACAAATGGAAACATTGCTGAATTTTTTGTTTCCGTTCTCCAACTTAAGTTTGCCTCAACTAAATGTTATGAAACTTGTACACAATGCTAATTACCACACAACTCAGTTCAAATACGAATTTTGGTAGAGTCACTTTTACCGTTCTTGAGTTATGTCCCTATATAACGTTATATGCGAGCGGGGGCATCATCTGTGTAATTATTATTTCAAGACCCTACTGTGTACCATTAAGTATTACCCAATTCCTATGGGGTTAAAACCCTTAGAAAACCACAGGTTCTTCCATAATATAATTTTGCTACATATGTAGACCATTGCGATAATGGGGAATTCCGTTGCACTGATAAATTTACTCCTGCATTCAGCTTACATTTGGCGGTATTATGTATATAAACAAAAGTGTTAATAGTTTTCATGTGAGAAATTTAAACTCTGGAGATTATAATTGAATGCCTTGTATAGTTATCACACAATCAATTTACTACTATGTTTATCAATGAATTCTGAAAGTTTTATGTAATGAAGATATATGAATTTAGAATTTTCAGTGAAAATATATATATCGGTGTCAGTACCCCGCTGGCGCTTGCCCCCGTGGTAAAGGGGTAGTGTCACAATCAAATTTATAAAATTGCGGTTTTTAGTCAACGCAATCATAGTTTTGAAAGAAGATTTTTTTGTTAAATAAACTGAACGTGACTTTTTTTCCTTTGTAATACTGGTTTTTTCAAGCATTCCTGTCAAGATTTGTCATAATCAGTTCAATACTTTGAGAAAAATCTAGTATAATGTAAGACGACATCTACAGCTATTCGAGCAAAATTTCTTCGAAAAATTCAAACCAAGCCGCATCATGATAGAATATAGTGTGGACCAATCAATGATCAAATATTTATCTCATCTGCCTACAAACAGTTGAATAGGATACAAAAGATGACTTTAGGATGATAAATACTAGTAATGGACCTCTTTGTCTTCTTTATAAGGTCTCTTTTGGTCCATTTATACCTCTCATTTCCTCAAAATTTCTACTTTTTAGGCCAATAAATAAAAATTTTGGGGTAACTTTCAATCATTTATGATAGAAATTTTATTATAAATGATTATTGAAGTATTCAAGCTGAATGAACTATCCGTATAAAAGTTTACTGTCTCCAAGGAGGTTTCAATAAGTCCTTACGTAAAACTTAAATTTACGCCGCGTTCCCGAGAGGGACATAAAAAGCTTCTCTTTTGGTGAATAATTTGTTGTTACTGCTTTAAAAATAATTTCATTTACTTAAAACTTTATATTTATTAAAGTATTTCTTAGGAAAAATTTTCTAGTATAGCAGAATATAAGAAATAAGGAGAAAAAGCTCCCCAAAACTCTAAGTATGGCTTGTTCTGTCAACTAATATTCATGTTAAAGTCCTATTTCAAGGAAATTTTCTCATAAAATGTGTTTTGGAGACTCAATCCACTCAGAATATTTCATTATTAGTAATAATTCACTTAAATAGCAAGAAATTTTAACACATGGGAGTACTCACAAGGTCAAAGGTGCATGTACAGCTTCCCATATTAGGTGTAATACCACCATTGATTTCCCCCTATTAGTCATTGTTAAATTTGCACTTTTCAAAAAATTGTGCAGAATTTATTCTTTGTTTCAAATAAAAAAATACTTGGTATGAATAAGGTTTTATCCTGTCCAGTACTATAGAAAAAATTTCACATAACATTTCATTGCATATAAGAAAATAACCATCACTGGAAGTTAACCAATCAAATTTTCCCCCTGTTTTAACCTGTGTACAAGCTTTAGTAACCATGTAACCTCAAGTTTCCAAAATATTCTATAGAAACCCCAAATAAAAAAATAATGGTGCTCTGAAATACCCAAGATATATGTTTATGACCCAGAAATGTTTTACTGCAATGAAATGTAGGATCAATTACCTACAAATGTCAAATTCAAGGGAATATTTTTTTTCGACCTATTTTCGTATGCAACCGGATGTGAGGTACTATGATTTGGTGGTATTACACCTTGAACGTTGTTTTCAATTTAGACTTGTTTATATTGTTTCGTTTGGGCTTGTATTATATTTTCCTTCGGGTTTATATAATCCGTTCATCCTATCTCGACTCTTTAAAATTCAAGAGTCTATCCTAAATTGAGGTAAATTATATGGCCTTCCAAATACCGTTTTGATTCCTAACATCACTTAAGAGACATTAATTGTCGAAATCCGGATATGGTGTACAAATTTTTGCACCTCATGTTTGCGGTATACCATCTTTTCCGCAATTTTATTGTTTTCTGTTTGGTATTAGATCCATTTTGTTACATCTGGTGATCCGTTTATTTGGCAATCGCCATGGCAGTCGGCAGGGTTTAAGAACATCCGTTGTTCGACCTGCTAGTCAAATGCATTTTGTTAAAATATACTTTTTCACTTTTTTGGTCTTTTGGAAAATGTTGTTTGTGCTGTATTTAGACCCCACTACCAAGAAATTTGTTTTGCATGCACACGTATAAGAATTGCGGTTTTTATCCAACGCAATCATAGGTTTGAACGTTGTTTTCAATATAGACTTGTATATAGATATAAGAAGATGTGGTATGAGTGCCAATGAGACAACTCTCCATCCAAGTCAAAATTTATAAAAGTAAACCATTATAGGTCACAGTACGGTCTTCAACACGGAGCCTTTGCTCACACCGAACAGTAAGCTATAAAGGGCCCCAAAAAATTACTAGTGTAAAACCATTCAAACGGGAAAACCAACGGTCTAATCTATATAAAAAACGAGAAACGAGAAACACTTATGAACCACATCAACAAACGACAACTACTGAACATCAGATTCCTGACTTAGGACAGGTGCAAACAAATGCAGCGGGTTTAAACGTTTTAATGGTACCAAACCTTCACCCTTGTATATCTATATAAGTACGTCTGTGTTTTCAGCCTTGTTTCACCATCACTGGTGATCCGATGGATAAAAATAGTTGTCACTGGTTCAGACGTACTTATAAGATAATTATTTCTGTGACTGTATCCTATATTAATTTGTAAGAGCCTCTACGATAGATAATTCATCTGATCTGTAATATTCCATGTTCATGCCTTATATATCATGTACTGTGTTACGACGCTAGATAAAAATTGACGAGGAAAGGTAACACCCGGCCATCGAAAGCTTGATTTTTATCCAGCCTAGGTGGTCGAGTGGTCTAGCGCACCAGGCATAGTGCAAGGCGATTTGGGGCCACGATATCTCAGAAGCATGAGTTCGAATCCGGGCGAGGGAAGAACAAAAATTTGCTTCCGCAAATTTACAGGTCTAACATTGTTGGGTTGTTATTTAGACGAATTATATATATATATATATATAATTTATACCATCTTTTCCACACACAAGTTTATTGTTTTCTTTTTGGTATTAAATTAATAATTAAGATCCATTTTGTTACATCTGGTGATCCGTTTATTTGGCAATCGCAGGGTTTAAGAACATGCGTTGTTCGACCTGCTAGTCAAATGCGTTTTGTTAAAATATACTTTTTCACGTTTTTGGAAAATTTGGAAAATGTTGTTTGTGCTGTATTTAGACCCCTCTACCAAGAAATTTGTTTTGCATGCACACGTATAAAAATTGCGGTTTTTATCCAACGCAATCATAGGTTTGAACGTTGTTTTCAATTTAGACTTGTTTATATACTGATTGTTACTGTTTTTTTTATTGTTTTCAATGATGTATATTGTTATGGCTGTAATATTAGAATATTTGGGCTAATATAAATAGTATATAAAATATAATCCGAATAAAACATTTAAAAGTGTTATATGTATTTTCAGATCCCCTTTCCAAAGGAAATGTGAGCTGCCATCACTTGAAGTCTGTCGTAGTCGTCGTCCGTCCAGTGTAAACTTTTCCAAACATCTTCTCCTCTGAAACTACTGAACCAATTCCAATCAAACTTAAGCTGAATAATCCTTATGGTATCTAGAATAAAGTTTGTGCTATATTTTCTGTTTCATAAAAAAACATGGCCGCCATGGCTAAACATAGAACATAGTAGTAAAATTTAGTTTTTGACTTATATCTCAAAAACTAAAGCATTTAGAGCAATTCTTACATGGGGTAAAAATGTTCATTAGGTCAAGTTATATCAGCCCTGAAATTGTCAAATGAATCTAATAACCCA